GCTTTTGTTTCGTTTCCTAACCAACAAGGTGGTTGATCCAATCGCCATTTTGTGGGGAAGAATAATAAATCTGGGAGTAAGCTGCTCCCAGCCTCCTCCTGACAGCAAAGAAGATTGTCTACTCTTCAAACTGGAAGGAAACATCACCTGTAAGCTCATGTTTGATATACTTTCATGGACATTGCAAAGTAACACTTTCCTAACTGCGTCAGACCATCCGCTCATGTTGATTGTTTTTACTACGATTGCTGTTCCCCAGATAAAACACTTCCAGTCAGATTGCTTGATACAATAGTACGTTTCCTCAAGGCTCCCACACTGGCTAGTGAATTACTAGGTGGATAACAATAGACATCTTCCAAAAGCCTGGCTCTTTGTATCAATTTTCTATGAGTAATTTTTTTTTTTTTAATTTTTCAATTGGTTTGGAATGTATCAAATCCTATGCCACACATTCTGTTCTGTATGCAGATCGAGTTAGCCCAAGTCATCCCTCGTGCAAGAACATGGGTCTGGCGAACGTAGACGTAAAATGAACGTTTCTCAATCTCGTTGTTTTGCAGGTCCCGTTGAATATTCAGTGGGATCAACGCTTAGTCCTGTAACATCATCCTTGGAGCTTACATCATCTCTTACGGTAGGATTTCGTTCGATATATTGTAAATAGGAGCCAGGGCAAATCATTGCTGACGTGCGTCTTTTTAGAGGTAAATCTCAGATGACATCGAAATGTGGTAAAAAACGAAAAACGCCGTGTGTCATTTATTTTCTTTCCACATTTTGGCGTATTCTGTGATCCATTACTGCACAGACCAAAGACTTCTTGGTCTACAAAATTTGAGATTACAAACAATTTGTAGGTATTTTGTGAGGTACAGTTACCTCTCACTTTGAGGAAACTGGCTTTAAGATGTCTATCAATAGAGAAATCCTTTTCGAAAGCAATGCTAGTTAACTTCATAGGCATAATCGTCCTCCCCTTGCTTGATGACATTTCGAATGCTTCCTCCTTAATAAGAGGGCCATAGTCAATCCAAGTTGAAAGTAGATGGGAATGGGATTGTCTGATCGAAATAGTTTCCACTCGAAAGCTTCTTTTTTCCTATAGCTGAAAAAGCCTGAAATGCCTTTATTCCGCAGATAACTAAAACGATATTGATCCGTTTTAACTGTTTATCTCGACAGACGAAGGTCACTGAAGAAACGATTTACCCAACACAGGTATGAGTATCATGATCTCATCATACGCACTTGAAAGCAAATGTTTAGGATGTTGAGGATGCAACCGAGGTTGTCAAATAAAGTTCGGAAACAAGTTAAAATCTTCTAATCTCTGCTCAGTTTGAAAAACCTTTATTTCGCAGAAAACTAATTAAAAATATATTGATTCGTTTTAACTGTTTATCTTGACAGAGTAAGGTCACTAATGAGACTATTTACCCAACACAGGTATGAGTATCTCATCATACGCACTTGAAAGCAAATGTATATAGGATGTTGAAGATGCAACTGAGGTTGGCAAATAAAGTTCGGAAACGAGTTAAAATATTCTAATCTCTGCTCAGTTTGTAGCGTAGATTAATATGTTTGCGACCAGGGTAACTTTGTAAGCCCGCATCGTGAAGCAGTGTTTGAAAATTAAATAACGAAATCTGTCAGAATGTCTTCGTAACCTTTGGAATTGACAATGTGCCAAATATATTTGGTCCCTAGCTTTGGGTCCACGTGTTATTCTAACTTGATTGCCGCTTTATGATCCTTCGCGCTCATTTTCACGCAGATATCATCTCGAGCTAACCCAGGAAAAAAAAAGAAAAGCAACGATGTTTACTCATCTTCAATAACTGTTGGCATCATTGCCGGAGTGATTGTTGCCGTCATAATTTTATCATTACTGATTACTGCTCTATTCATCTATCGACGTCGAAAATCCAGGTGATGATTGCCAAGTTAGAATTTGTCTACATCTTAGGTTATGTGTAATGGTGTATTATGTTAGTACTTCAGGTGGATTATACAAACTGAATTAAATTTAGCGTATCCAATTTAGGAAATCTCTCTTAATCGTTAAGGAGTGGTGGACACATTTTTGAATCACGAAATTCAGAGCATTACTGGCGACTTGTGCACGGCCACATTGTATCACGGGAGAAACCGCCGTAGGGTGGTTGTATTGCCAAAAGTGAGAAGTATTTTGTTGGCGTGCTATCCACGCTTTTTTTCCTTCAACCGGAGGATAGAATAATGCTAAGGCAACAGCGATTGGTGCGATTTTTCGTGTACTATTTCTACTGCCGAGTTGTTTTGTCTATTAATCTCTAATTTTTTAAAAAGCTAAATCCACCCAATCATCAATCATTTTTGGGCATTCCCAAGAACCTGGTATTATACTAAGACACTGAACAATCCATCGATTAATAATTTCCACAACGTTTCTGTTCGGCAATTTGTAAAATAACCATTGCCTTTTACGAGAACTCGTGTATTGATCACTCACTCCTATGAATCACAGAGTTCAACTCTTAAGTTTAATAAAAGAGCTGAAGATTCGATGATGACCTCTTGATATCACAAAACCCCGACAGATTCCAAGGCCACTGATTTTAACCCATGGAATGTTTGGTGTCCAAAATCTATTGCATACTGTTTAATGATAGAACTTGTCTATTGGTAAAGACCTGCAATATAGATTTCCAACCTACCACTTTCCACAGAATCTTAGATTCTGTGATTGATTTCAGTTTAAAAACAAGTACTGCTTTTTTTATGTTCACAGAAACGCTGCCTGCTCGATTACCAATGGTCAAGTAGTCAGTGAGGTAGAAAATAAATTACATTGTCAATAACGGAAATGATGAGTTTTATCTTGCATGCTTAGTGGGAGAAACTTACTAGGCTAAAAGAACGGATCCTCCATAAAGACCACTATCGTCCCTAGTCTTAATAGGTACTGAAGAGTGGTTTTGAGAGCCTGAAAATCCTACAGTTCGTTTTTTTCCTTGTTGATCAGTCATTACAAAGTCGCTGGAATACTTTTGTATTTTGTGTACAGTCGAGTTAAAAAAAACTGTTACTGAAACTACTGTTTCAGGAATACTTCCCTTGGTCATTATATTCTCCGGGTATTAATGCTCTCTTCATTTTGCAAGAACACCACCACGTGCAACTCAAAGACAAACCAAGCGTTTCAGCTGGAAGAAAGAAGTCGTTACGTCTCGAACGGTAGGACATTAATTTTGTCTTTCATTGAGGCAGCTGTGATGTCCTGTAGGCAAAGGAAACACTTCAGATTCAGTAAATTAACAACTTTGGAGACTAGCTAGCTACTGTTAAGAAAATTTTCCAACATTTTACTTGGAGCCTATAGAGAAGAACCAACCCTCGGCTCCAAATTACAACGTAGTGCTTGCAATTTTTCCCCTTAGATTCCTCTGTTATCGATGATAAAAAGACGGGTTTCCTACCGCAAGGAAATTCTGGAACTTTAACTTCAGACAACCCTTTGTACTTCGCTGTGGAAGACCTAAAAGAAATTCAAGAACCTGTTGGCAATGCTCAAAATCAGTCGGAACCAATGTACAACGAAATAGATGACAATAGTGCAATAGACGCAGACAGTGCTTCGTGGTATGGGTCCGTGCNCAGAAGAAAAGTGATGAGGTACACCAAATTGACAGCACCAAATCGAGAAGAAAATGTACAGGACTTAGTGGGGAGGTTTACTGATCAAATCGAGGTATTCGTAGGATTATGAATTATGCAAACTCTCTGAAGTTAGTCCATTAGGCAGATACAGACAGCGAAAACATACTGGTACGAAATGAAATTTCAATCATGTAAAGAAAAGAAAAGTATCTAGTTTTAACAAATAAAGCATCGGATATTCTACTCTGTTTTTTATTGTTATTGTGTGGCAAACTAACTCAGTTTACTCCTCAGTAAGCCTTCATAATTTATATATCCCTCTATTAATGTTCGAACGTCAATGCCTTTTAACCTGGTGCTTGGCAGTACGCTAGAGATTCATTGATACTTGTAATACAATATAGAAAACGTTAAGGAAGGAAGAAATTGCTTGGGTCAAGTCTTCTAATGACTCCCGACGAGAACATTGAGTTGCGTGGGAAAGCAACTAGGGATATTGTGAGGTGCAACTGAAAGAAACATCCGCCTGGCTGTAAAGGTTCTTTGCACGAGTGTGCAACATTCATGGGCGCAAGGAAAGACTTCAAGGAGGGTGATAACCTTCATCACGAGCAACTAAAAAAAAAACTGAGTTTTCCGATGAGATTCGAAGCCTAAAGGTTGCTAGTTCGGCTTCTGCATTCCGTTGCTCCTCCAGATGAGCTTCAGAGACACCTTTGCCGCGTCATGGTTTGCGCGCGTCGAAAATTAATGTTTGTCTGTGATTATAGTAATTTACAGAAAGAACTTTAAGAGTCGAATATGACCGTTGCTTTCATTACGTCTTTGACATTAACTTCTACAATGTACTTATTTTGCATCCCTAAGAGGGTCCTTTACCCTGAGAGAAAAAGAGAAACGGCTAACTGCAGTATCAATTATTCCAACATAATTTCCATCACACACAATTCATTGTTAAAAAAGTTTCTCAATATAAACGATTTCGTGTTTATTAGTCGCTTTGAGTCTCATCTAAGGCTTGATCCATACTTTTTAACCACGATAATAAATGTCGCCCAGCCTAAAGAGCTATTCTACGGTACTTCTTTGAAGGTTGGAGAGAACATATCCAGAATTATGTTAAAACACTTCATTGCTGAATGAAGAAGAAGAAATATTGAGCAATTGTCCCTCACAACAAGCGGTAAGACTTTAAACTTGTGGTTTTCTAATTTTCTTTTATAATTATAGATTCTGTTTTTAATTACCATCCACGGACTAATAATCAAAGCTGTATTCAAAATAGAGTACACTGGTTTTTTATCGATTGTATAGTGAGAGGACACTGTCAGGTTTTGAGAAGAAGCGAGTTGTACACCAGAAGAAGACGACCTTTCGTTTAATGCTTCCGGAGAGCATGCTGGGAAACGGAATTAGCTATTACGTATGGCCATGAAAAGTGGCGTGATATCATATAACATGATGATAAATTTTCTCTTTAATCAGTCTATGTTCAAGACCGTAAGTTCATGCAATGGAACAATCCATCGAGAGCACTATTGTTTTTCATACATGTAAAGCATGCAATTTTTAAGTCTGCCACGATTCGAATCATGAAATGGAATAAACAAACCTCAAAGTATACCCATTAACCATATGATTTCACTTCCTCAAAAAACAATTTTCTTTAATTCTCATGAAACAATATTGATGAGTATATTTTTTTCTGTAAGTAATTTCTGAGGCTTTTTTGACATTCAGCAAGCAAAGTAAAATTCATAGCACGTAATAAATTTACCCCAAAACGCTGGGTGCCGGCGGCCTACAAACTTTCCTTTCTATTTGGAGTAAAGTCTTCTTACTTAATTCACCATCATCTCAGTTTGCGGTTGTTTAGAATTGGTTTCGTATACTTCAAAGAACAATCAATACCGAATTTTTCAACAGCCAGGTATTGAAGACACATTAAGCTTTCTGACGTTGGCGCTGAACATTAAGTAGGGGATGTAAATGAAAGTGAAATCATGAAAATAGCCAATTGAAAAGTGGCGTTTTTGATTGCACAAAGGGTAAGAAAGGGCGAAAGTTTTAATTTAGGCTATAAACAGTAAAGGGTGAAGAATTCTCTCTGAGCTATAAACTGAAGCATACCTTGAGGTGCTTCATTTTGGGATATTGGCATAGCTGACGCACTTTCATCAACACGCAACCGACGAAAAGGATAAATCATGGTGAATCGTTTTAAGCCACAATAAATTATATTGGCGGATTTTCATTTGTTGAAGGAAAGTTAGGCTGTTACGTCGGACAAAACTTCAATTTGCTATATGGTTGATTCACTTAGTGAGACGCTCAGTGCGTCAGCCCGTCAAAATGATGTACTATTCAAAGAGATATACTATTCATCATCAGAGGCCTAATGATGAGTAGTATATCTCTTCTTCCGCTGCCGACTTATCTACGTGGCCAAGATTTTTAAAATGTCGGCTAGCCTGTCTGCTTTAGAAGTGACAAAAGTGCATGAACCAAGAATGAAACCCATTGAGTTTGACTTATCCTTTCGAAGAACAATGTTTTGTATTTTTGACTGTGGCTTTTGAGCTTCAAGAGGGCCATTTTTTTGCGGATTATTTCATCATTGACATCGGCTGCCTTCTTTAGTCTCGTAAGGTCCGCGCACGATAAGTAAAAAAGTATGGAAAAATTTTTCCCTCTAGCTTTCAAAGAGAATCTACGTATGGCAATACCACCACATATAATTAAAACATAGGATAACACTAGTAGTGTTTTTGGCTTTATTTGTATTTTCAAAAATGAATGTCAAGTTCTGTTTATATTTGCCATTACTGTACTATAAATAAACTGGTTCAACACTTAAATATAAGTGGTGAAAAATGGCTCTTTTGCGGCCCTCTTGGATTCGTATTTCGGGCTTGATACAGGTTATCAACTTCTTATAAATGGGCGAAAACAAATGTCTAAAATCGTGAGAATAAATTTGAAATCAGTGTGAACAAAGGTTGTTTCTGTCTGAAGTACAATATCCAATTCAAGTGCACCCAGTGTTCGAAGCGCCAAAACGTCTACGTGTTAAAGCACTTTGTACATAGGAAACATTGCAACTCGCTGTTCTTCGTTAAAAAAAAAAATACGGCAAGAGAGAAGATTGTTTCGAGCTCTAATCGATCACTATGAAAGCAACAGCTATTATCTCGGTTTTCTTGATAACTCAGTTAAGCGGCAATTATCAAATATCAGCAGTACATTTCAAGATTCGGAGAACGGTACAAAACCTCGCAGATTCCTTCGAGATTCTTTCGTCTTTGTGCCCACATAACAACGATTATGAATGCGGGCACTTTAGCGCGGATGCTATGTCAGTTACTCACAACGGCTGCAATTGTTCCTGTCTTACGAAGGAGGCCACATTCAAGCTGATTGAAACGCAGTGGTCATGCCATGAGAACAAAGATGTTAGGTTGAATCTACAATTTCAACAACAAAGCAGACCCAGTGAAAAAGGTACCCATATGTTTTCTGTAAACAAGTCCTCAACCAGGTATGTTGGGGTAACTAGTTATAGACCTCAAAACGCTTTTACACTAGGCACTAAGGACTCTTGGCCCGTCCTTTATCGTCTTCTTTAGTTTCTCGATTCTCTAAAATACAATTTTATTTACATATAGCATACCACTGATCTTGCTAGATATAATCCAATGATTACATCGTACCGAACTATAACTAAATACTTCGTACCCTTGCATTTCTACGCGTGTCAAAGAGTTGCACCACCTCATTTTTAAGAAGTATAGAGCAAGATTTTTTGTTTTCCAAATGCACTTATTGATATGATTGATATCCAGCCTTTTGGATAAAGTTTGATACGGAGAAGTAAGTACATTTAAATTAAAATGTCTTGTTCTCTACGCTCTGTCAGTTAGAAAGTCGTGATGGGCGAGCTGATAACCAAGCGAAACTTTAGTTAAAACACGTCATATGTCATACTCTGCCTGCTCTAATGCAGTTTTGCTGCTTAGGTAAACTATTCCAACAGTATTTTCAATTACATCATATTATCCGTCGATTTTCCTCCAGTTTAGATTAACTTGTTATCCGATGAAATGAACGAAATGATTACGTACAGCATTACAAGAACGTTAAATATGCAGTATTACTGGTTTTGTTCCGATTTGTTTAATTGTTTTTTTAGTTGGTCTTTTCTTTTCTTCTTCTACTTCTCTCCCGTTTTTTCAAACTTTGAAAACTTTTTATTGGTTTCTAATAACTTTCAATTTGATGATGTCATTTTCTACGGATTTAAGTTTGCCGAGGACATAAGCAAGAGAAAAAATGAGTACTCTACCATTTGCAAAAATGAATTGTTTATTTATTCATGAAATTACATATCACTAATCTACGAAAAGAAAAACTAAATATATTGACTTGAAAATGGTTGTAGAACAACTTAATGTTGGGAAAGAGTCCTTATTTATGCGACCTCGTTCCCTCTTTGGTAACACAAACAAGATCAATAAATGCCATAACTAACAGGGTGTTATTCAAAATCATTGTCAAACGTGTTTGCTATTTAGCTTTAGTTTTGAAACTCACACGACTGCCGTTCTTACTTCATAGGGAGCAACAATACAGCAGAGCTCTTTCGCAGTATTAAGGCGACTTGGAGGCAATCTGTGCATTTATAGACTTTAAGGAGTAAAAGAAACGGTTTTTAAAATATTTTTAACGCAAGAAAAAGAACTATATAGGTCATGAAATAGCGGTAAATAGAAATGACCACCCCTATCATGAGAAATCCAATTGCTGTACAACACTTTGTACTCGTAATTTCAGACGCCACCATATTAAATCATCTGCAAGTGTACGGAAACAAGAGAAATAAAGCCTTATCAATATTTAGAATAAAACAAAAATAAAAAGTATATAAATTAGGGTATAAAATAAATAAATAATTACGATAATAAAATCCTATTATTTTGAAATTTAGGGTTTTCTGAGGATGAAAATTCTGAGCTTAAACGTTTGCTTTTCACTTTTCAACTTTTATATATTGACATCATTGGCTTAGAAACACGTTTGAGACTGGCCACTCATGGCAAGTATTATTCCTTACTGAGAATAATTTATTATTATTATTAATATTATTATTATTATTATTATTATTACTTTTATAGCTTGTACACCAAGAATGATAACAATGTTCACCGACGAGTTAACAAATTCCAGTTTGCGCGTATTGAATGTCGGTGACGAGAAGGAAATTTCTTTACTTAACAACTGGGATGGATGCACGGTGTACAGGGAATACACTTGGTATTCCGAGTGTGATGATTCACGACTTACTTCAGCGCGGAAACTTGATGTGATGGAGAATATTTTCAAATTGGAAAGAGGACAACAAAATTATATTTTAAAGGTAAGAAACTATTCTTGTTCTAAGCGCCCTAGGAAGTCGCTCATACAGAAAAGGAGGGGTATCCCAAATTTGGAGGGAGGGGGTATGCTAAAGGTGTATGCCAGGAAAACAATACAACCAGAAATTGTTCGACATAGTTTCGAGGAACAGTGAGGATCATGAACCACAGCAAGGAGATGGAGAACGACATCTCTCCATCCCCTCCTCTCATTCCAATTGGTCGAAAGTCCAATCAAAAATCACCGAATTGAGAAAATTACCGAACTAGAATCGCTCTGATGTTAGCACGAATGGCTTTCAAAATGCTACTACTGAACCTCAGACAGGAGCTTGCAACCAATTGAAATAAATTTAAAAAGAAGGGGGAAAAAAAGGTTCTTAAAAGAAAGGAATCAAAATGTCGACAATTATCATAATGAAATATTACAAAACCGTATTGTTGTCGTCATCAATATGATTTTTCCCTCCGACAGGTTAAAAAAAATGTATCTGGCACACACTTACTGAGGGGACTGATTATCAACCTGGGCATTCATTGCACAAATGCAACAAAAACCCGAAGGGGCTGCTTGTTGTTTAAGATGGAAGGAACTATCAACTGTAAGTCAGTAGGAGCTCAGATAAAATCAGTGCTGAACAAAAGCAGCCTTTATCATATCAAAGTTAATCATCAAGTAGGTTGCAAGGGGTAATGGGGGAGGGGATTCTGAAGAAAGGGGTGCACAAAGAAGAAGACCAGATAGCTTTACTTAGCGCCTTTTAGACAAAGATGATGGAACTGAAGTTGAGCTTCTTTTTAAATCTCAATAATAATTCTCCCCCTGGTCTACCATACATTTCTTTAAATGTTAGTTCTTAGAATTTGGTGCTCCAAGGAAATGGTATTTAGTGTAGAGGAGAGCGGAAAGAGAGCGCTTTAAACTTCCACATGCGATCAATTTTGCGTCAGCAGGTTACTTTTTATTCATGAACATCTCAAGATCCTCGAAAGAGAAGGGGTGGGGGTAATGCAAATAAACCTCGGATTCACTTAAATGGGAGCCATTCTCTTTGCTGAAAATAAATATTTAAGCACCCCTTTTTTATGATTTAATACTTATTCGTTCGTACCAGGCGACGATGCTAAATCTTCCAAACCGCCACTACCGAAAGTCCCTTCCACATCATCGGATATAACTACACCGACGCAGATAACGACCACAATTGCAAAAACAGATGGACACACAGAAACTGCGACCGTTCAGCCAAGCACGCCATTTGAAACCTCGCCATCTCCTACACGACAGGAGGTCGCACTTAATGTAAGGATAATGAGCTGATATCGGAATCCCAAGATGCAGGGGGGTTTCAATTAAAGCCCTATTGAAAAAATTACTCAGTGCTGTTTGTTGGCTTCGATTCCGTAATAACATAAACAGCTTATCCTTGGAAGGGTTCCACGTGATTGTTGGGCTTACTACGTTGTTTACCATTACACATAGAAAAAACTCTGCATTTTTGCCAAATTTTAAATATTTTTGATATACTGCTTAACTACTACACCCCCCCCGGACAAATCTCTAAAAGGCGGACATTCTGGTCTCATTCCCAGAGCACTTCTTCGAGCTCCCACCCAGATGACACAGGACAAAGCACAGGGCACAACAGTCAACAAAATGCTGTTTGGATCATCATAAGTGTCTCAGTATCTTGAATGCTCCTTGTCGTTATCATAGCATTCGTCGTATGCCGACGAAGCATAAGTTCCAAGTAAGTACACTAATGTACACAGAATTCATGAAACGCATTCGCTAATCTATTATTGTGTTCAATTAATAAGGCTGTTAAGGTCCTTTCTTTTTTTAGTCGTCTGTTGAGGAAACTAAAAGAACAGGGCAAATGAAGTGCACGGCGTCTTCAATAATCATAACGTGTGTACATTATAGAGGCATGCCTACACTAGCAAATTGTGCAGCAAGTGTCTCACTGGCTTAATGATTATTACATTCTATTCGCAGAAAGATAAGCCACATGGCAACTGTTGAAAGAAGGGAATTACAGGTAATTCAACTTTTGTACTTCGTCAGCACCTGTTGAGCCACATATAAGTAAAGAAAAAAAAGTTCAAAACTTGTTTTAAAAAACAACAATGAGTGAGGCACCCGTCTTCTTTCATTTTTACTGGCGATTTTTTTTTTTTTTTTTTTTTTTGTAATCATTGCAGACCCACTTTAATTTTTTGTTAATGGACAGAAATCCGCAATGTTATTCTTAAGTTTTTCTTATTTATGAACATTACTAACGAAGGTCCTGGAGGTGCATGTCACTTTCTACCAGATCGTTATTATTACAGTGTGTAATAAAATCAATTTGCTGTCCCCTCGTATTATATATATATATATAGGTGACGACGTGTTCTATTCATATCCTATTTTTGTATTGATTTTAGCTCTGTTTTGTTTTGTTATTCTCGTGGCTGCATCCCTGAATAATGCGAAGCAAATAGCTTTTCATCTTCTTTTTCAGGCCCCACAAGTGATCCATTCGAATACAAGCACAGAATTTCCGGAAGAAGAACCAAACGGTTACTCTTCTCTCACTTTTAGGGAGCCTTGTAAGTAAACATTCTTTTATAAGTTTCATGTTAAATTCACAAGAGCACAATATGTGGCCGGAATTGGAAAACAAGTTTTAAAAATCTTAAGATATTCCTAGACTTGTCTTTGATATTTCAGTAAATTAAACGTAACTTTTGACCATGATTTCTCAAAACCTTGATCAGGAATCCATGGCTAACACTTTTGTGCAATTAAAGTAATGTGAAATAACTCGACTCTTGGTCATATCTCAAAGTATTACAGTACCTAAAAATAATTATGATATCCTCCCTTGCTTATGAAACTTATTTGTGTTACCGCATCGACAATATTGCCAAGATTTCAGTCATATCTGGCTATGCAGTACCGATGGATATTTGAGTAACAGATTGCTGCGTTGGAAACCAACGAAACATATTTGAAGTGCCCCTGATGACACTTAGTAACGAGTTACATTTATCGATAGATAACATGTTTGGTATTTTTTCTCAGCCATTTATACTTCGACATATCAAGTACCTGTGAACCGGAGAACCTCTTTCAACGAGATAAACAATCCCCTGGGGGAAACCTTTGAAGATGAGCACATGCACGATCCATTCCCCGTCCTTCAGAGACACAACTTTCAAAGCTTTAAATCTAACTCCCAGATTCTAGCGCCTGTGAAGAAGGAGACAGAAACCTGGAACAGAACTTTGGGACAAACCTTTCAAGATGAACACTTGCATGATCCACTAAACGTCCGCCAGAGACACAACTTTCAAAGCTTTAAACTTAACCCCCAGATTCTAGCGTCTGCGAAGAAGCAGACAGAACCTTGGAACAGAACTTTGGGACAAACCTTTCAAGATGAATACATGCACGATCCACTAAACGTCCCCCAAAGACACAACTTTCAAAGCTTTAAACATAACCCCCAGATTCCAGAATCTTTGAGGAAGCATGCTAAAAACGAGACAATAAAGTTCCTTCAAGAGCATGGACCGCTCAGTATCGAACAACTTGTGTACAATATCGTGGAGGAAATATTGATCGGAGGCCAGGAGATGACGGACGCAGACGAGGACCAAGATGAAAACGATCCGGTATACCAAGTTATAGAGGAGTATTATGGTGAGCCGCCACAGGACACCACTCAACATGATAATGCAATGAATGCGAACCGGGATCCAGTTTACCAAACTTTGGAGGAGGGTGATAGTTCTACGGAAAGCCAAAAGAATCCCGACATTTCTGATTGCGGCTAATGTGATTGAAACGTCAAAGTTGAAAAAAAAAAGATACCTTTTCGAGATCTCGAGAATGAGTTACATTGAAGATTTTTAAGCACAAAAGACGCCCTATAAAAATATGAACAGCGATATATAGCTTTATAGAATTTATTTTGCTTTTTAGAGAATTGATAAGTTGACTAATAGCTCAAGCGGTGTAACTAACTTAATAAAATTATTTTCATGTTTTGCATTGCTTTACCGGCAACATCGAAATGTTTTCTCGCTAAGTCAGGTAATGTCATACAGGCCCTAGTTTTTTACTTGCGAAACTTGTAATCCATTCTCCAACTAAAACGTCTCAAATTTATTCGATGATTCGAACTTGGGTTTTAATCAAACAACTCGGACGGCTATACTTTATAACTCATGACTGAATTGTAAGCATCCCTTTGAAGTTGTTACACATATACGCGTAAGTGAGTAGGCGACTCACCTTTAATTAAAGAATGGGATAACATCCCCTGGCAGAATATTTTATAATCCCTTTCCTTCAGCTGATAAGCTTTTTCCACTCTATTTATCCGTGGATGATAAATTGATGTTGCGCGGGTAAAATACAAACTTAAAGTTAATAAAATAAACTCTACGACAAAATAGGCTTAACTGGCTTCATTTAAGAAGCTTTCTCGCAGGCAGCAAGAAAGATTTAGCAAGAAGTATGCTATAAATTGATATATCCAAAATGTCAGTTTTAAAGCCCTCCTGAATGTCAGAACAATATTGCAGAGGCAATTATGTTGCCTGATAAAATACTACCAAATTTGGCAGACCTGACAAGGAGATTGTTGGATGAGTTAAGTTTATCATATTTATCTCAGTCTTAAGCTTAGCTTTATGCTTAGAGTAACCGACACAGATTTGAGTTGGACTCATGTGGAGTTTTCTCACGTCCGACCTTTTTCGACTCGTCAGCCTACTTGTGTCCGATCCCTTGAGTTAGGAGTTGAATTTAAGTTTGTCGATTTTTATGTACGAGTCTTAGGGCTTGCGTGTCGGGAGCACTAAGTATCAAAACATCCTTTGCTCATACAGGAAATGGAAAGGGAGATTTATCACATAACAAACTAAAAAAACAAAAGAACAAAATATCAGCAAAAGCTTTTCATCGCCTTCCGTTTTTTTCCTTTCCTTAAAAAGCAATTTTTCGCCACAAGATGATAAATCGTGGATTAATTTGCGTGACTGATTACCACAGATTTGATTAGAAAATGAAAAGCACTAATCTGAAGGCTACTGGTGAAAACTGAAAGAAAATGCACGTTTTTAATAACAGCTGAACAATAAGTATGTGCTGCAGCTTCGACGAGAAGGAAAAAAACAACCCACGCACGAATGTCTCGGTTGATGATTATCCTATTGGGTAAATTTGAAAGCTTGTCGTGATATTTTTTGCGATCGCGTGATTGCGAGAGGGAAACTTGAAAACTGAAACAACATGTCGTCTTTATTTACAGACAGAAAACAGGAATTTTGCAAAAAAAGAAATTTACAATCTTCAAAATATATTATCTTTCTACCTAAAATTGCTAAAAGTTCCCCTTCTTTAAGTGCCAAATCGCGTGATATAACTTCTAAGTTTGGCTGGTCGTGTCGTTTTCAGTTGGGATATAAGTAGCTTATTAAGCGAGGCACGTACGCTGATACGACCAGTGCCGGCAGGTCAAAGCTGTTAGCAGGAGGAAGACCCCAACGAATTACAACTTGAATGGGAAAACAAACAAACTTTAGAAAGAATGTCTTTAATAGTACTGTTTTTGTTACACCAAATATTTTTTGGGTACGGTAGGGCGAAACATTTATTAATAATCAAACGACTTAACATTCGGAATGAAACAGTAGATCGTTTCGACGTGACAGGATTGTCTGAGAGGGCTTCATGCGTAGAAAAATGCGGCAATTTTAACACAACAGTGGATACCCATCGCACTGAACAATGTGCATGCGTCTGTTCTCGTCAAGCGGCGACACTTGGGAGAGAGAATGGTGCCTGGCATTGCATCGACAATAGAGTGATTCGCGAGAAGGAATTAACCGGTAAGTTGTTTTGTAAATAATTCCACTTAGATAGAGTATGGAGTGGCCAGAGTGATTGGAGTAGTCTGCTGATAAGCTGAAATATATTCTCATCTGTCTTTTAGGTCCCTGTGAAAAATGATTGATTCGATATTGTCGTGATGATTATGAAAGTCTGAGAAATCAATAATTATTTTTTACTCATAGTTTTGTATCATGATAAAAATTCATAACACAAAAAAGTGAACGCGACCTTGAAAATTAGCTCATTTCCTAATTGCCTTTGGCGTCTTTTTCAAAGTGAGTTCTGGTGCTCATTCTTTCGTTTGATGCCAAGTTTTCATTCACAAGCAAATTAATCACATTTTCACAAGAATGGTCGAGTACCAGGCTTCCTCTTGAAGAAGAGACCACTAGTGATTCAGAAATGGCCAATTTTCCTCTTAAATCAAACTAACTACCGAACGAATTTACGAATCATCTGGTTTTCTCTCTTAGGGAAGGGAGGGTGATATACTCCAGCGTAGGTACTGATAAAGTTCCTTGACCTGAGAAATGATCTAAAACTTGTTTTAAAAAAACTGTGAGTAAGGCACCCGTCTTCTTTCATTTTTACAGGCGATTTTTTTTTTTTTTTTTTTTTTTGTAATCATTGCAGACCCAGTTTTTTGTTAATGGATGGAAATCTGCAATCTTATTTTTAAGTTTTTCTTATTTATGAACATTACTAACGAAGGTCCTAGGGGTACATGCCATCGTCCGGTTTTCTCCCTTAGGGAAGGGAGGGTAATATATTGCAGCGTAGGTACTGATAAAGTTTCTTGACTTGAGATATGATCTAAAACCAGCCATCTGACGTGCGTTACCATTCTCTTCGAGTTAAGATTGCAGGAAAACATATTTTACTGGTGAAAACGATGCAGACCCTTTGAAACTGTTTAAAGAAAATGATTATCTGAAGATTAAGACCGACACAAAGTGTAGTGATCAAGAAGCACGCCTCAGTTATCAAGAATGCGACGGTAACTTTATTCTGCAGAAAGAAAAGTCTGGCTGGCATCTTACGAGTCTATGGACAGATTCACGCCGTGATCTGACTCTGAAGGTTAGATACACGAATTACTGGTTCAAACGAAGAAGAATAAAATGTTTAGTAATGCCTTTTAATGGCACGATTATATACTTGCGACACCCACTCAAGTTGAGGCGCTAAAGATATCACCCGAGGTAATATCTCTCACTAACCGAGTTCGAGGTCCGTATTGTAAGTTACGGACCGAGCGCGCGGGCAATAAATCCAAGCGGAAAAAAAAAATGGGTCCGTAGCGTACAGAACGACGTCAAACTCGGTTTGTGAGGTATTTACTATTCTTCGGGATACAATAGAGGGGGAAGTTTTCAAATCACACTTTCCAATTAAGCGGGATGTACAATGTGAATTACGGCCCGCTAAACTGACCGATCATAGCGCACTTACTGAGAGATTTAATAATGAACAATAAGAGCATATTTCAATAAATCGTAAAGATATTTCCTTTTTCCATGCAAAAAAACGTTCAGTTAAGTAAACTTTGTTTGTCCACACCATGTTACACTTTCACCAAATAAGCAAGAAGAAAACGGATGTAGAGATTTAACTCTTCAAGAAAAACAGTAGGAAAAAGCAAGGGTGACACGCTGCTAGGTTGAGGCGGAACGGTTTCATGACTGTTTTGATTTCCAGATGAATGACGATGGCCTCGAGGATTTTCACGGGAAAGTGATAAAACTAGTCATTCCGTGTGAAAATCCTAAGGAATTGTGTTTACTCTTCAAGATTGCCGGGGAGATGAAATGTAAGTAATCTTGGATGCATTTACTTTTTGATCTCTAAATTTATGGGATGTATGCTCAATGATAATAGCATTACGATAAACAAAAGCCATTTGGCAACTGAAACTTTAACCTTTTCTTTATAATTATGCGACTTTCTTATCTTTGTATCAGCGGATCGATGCAAGAGAAGTTATTAGTGTGACCTTTTTAAGTCTTTTCCTATTGCACTTTTGTAAACATTAATACAAAGGGTAGCCACGTTCCTTTAGAGACGATTAATGATCTTCAGTGTACATGAAGTAACTCAGTGATTGGCGCGCTGGGGTCTAGATTGTGGGTTTGCACCCATGCCCCTTTTTCAGGAGAAGAGCTTATCAAAATAGTGGTGATGAGTAACCATTGATGGAGTCACATCTCATTTATCCAAGATGTGTCTTACGCTTCTGATTTTACAGATTAGGAAAAGTTCCAGCGGCCATTAACCCGTTATACCCTGCACATATTCTCCATACTGTTCTTTATTCATTTTCCAAGGTACTTGTGAAAAGAACTAAAAAGTAATACTGTCGAGAGAAATCCTGGTCACTTTTTGCGGATGTATGTAATTACAGAACACGTCTAAAATATAACTTTTCCTTGTTATTTTTACAGGTCCTCTAAACAATATTTCGATACCCAAATCACCTTTACCGACCGCAACCGTAGTGAAACGTTTATCATCTGAGATGGTCGTCAGCACTCCAGATTCTAGAACCTCAAAGAAGAGTGTATCTTCAACCAAACCCAATCCGAAAGCTTCTATGGCGACTAACCCAATTCTCAGGGTATAATTATTGAATGTTTGACTTCATTTTCCTGTTTCATTCCAGATCTAGCCATGTACTGACCTGAACTTCTTTTAACTCCGAAGCAGAACTTTTCCTAACAAGAGGAAGGGGGAAAGGGGAGTAAACATAAGAGAGAAAATTTAAAAAAAAAAAATTTTCAATAACCACACTTCTATCATGGACAAAATTTTTGCTGGGCACACACCGTAATGTAAGGGAGCACAAAATCTTAAACTAGTCGTCTTTCAGCGATGGTGATATCAGTAAAGAACACGCAGTAAGCATCAAAACGTTATCTTGGAAACAAGGAGAAACTGTTATCGTTAGCATCATCATCTATTTAACAAATGGTAAACACCACAGCGTACACTATTGAGTTATGGATGCACGCGGAAGGTTGCTAAGCACGAAAGAAGCGTAAGGGTCGCTCGAGGCGATAGCCGAGAGCGACTCTAGCTTCTTGACTGCTTAGAAAACCTCCCAAGTGCATCCGTAACTCAAAAGTGTACGCTGTGGTGCTTAGCATTTGTTTTATAACATAACATTGATACATTGTAGCTAAAGAGTTCCCTTTTTATTTAACAAATCTTACGCGACCAGAAAAAACAAGCGCGCGCGGAAAAATAGTCTCTGCATCTGCTCACGTCAGCAGCGTACACCGATGGGCAAATGGGGGACGCTAAATTGACCAATCAGAGCGCGCGCTTTACTTTGGTTACGTTATAATTGTCATTCTTATCCATCTTCAGGTTACTGACTCCCAAGAGCACAATTGGAAACGTAACAAAGACAGTGAGACAATTAAAGGGGCTTCACACAAACTGTCAATTCCTTTGGTCTCTGTTATTGCGGGCGGAGCTGCAGTCGTATTTCTGGTCTCTCTGTTCACTGGTTTGCTTATTTACAGGAAACGAAATGAAAAGTAAGATTAGTGGTACTTAAAGGTTTAGTCCTAGACTAGAAAATACACCGAAGGTAACATGAGTTGAACATAGTTGAACATAGTTGAACATAGTAGAACATAGTTGAAAACACAGGTTTTTTTCAAAATTTTCCTTTTTCAAAGCTTTTTACATCATAATTTAAAAATTATATAAAAACATTGAACATCTTTTTTACCAAGGACGACCAGCATTTGCGCAGGATAAACATGTAGTCATTCCTTTTAATTGCACAGGAATTCTCATAAGTCGTCGTTACCCGTAAAACGAAAGACAACGCGTGCAGATAACGACAATGACCAAAACAGGTACGCCGGAGAGAAGCCAATATACCAAAGTCTTTCTCCATTGGAAAACGGCGACTTACCAAGAGGTAAGTTGAAGGACTTTATTACTGCGTGATGAGATCATAGCTAAAAATACACTAACTCTAAATTAGGCAAAAGAGAATTGCGAGCATAGAGAATAAAGATACTCGTAATCAACTGATTCTATGATGACAAGAATAATTCTCAAAGAATTTTTAATAATTACAGGTGTATATGTGCAACGTTATAAGGTTCCTGAGGCTGCTTCCCGACGAATCTCTGAGGAACTGTTATTGCATACTGGTCCCAAGGCATCAACGGAAGAGTACGATTATGCGGAATCCTGTCTAATGGTGCGAAACAAGGGGCTAAATGTAAGCTCCTCCATACCAATAAAGGCTCCTGCTATGACAACGGAGAATGACCCTTACTACCATGTACTTCAGATAGAGGAGGATGTCCTTTCACCAGGTCCCTGCAGTGATGCTCACAGAATACCCGACGAAAGAGCACCTATTCGCCTACCTCAGGATTCGAACCTTGTCGATTTGCCAAAAACCTTTGACAATGACGATGATGAAGGCGCACAGGTAGATAAGGATACGGACACCTATTACCATATACTGGAACCATCAGAGTCAGAAGACCCTGAGAGCGACGGTCAAATGGGTTCCAATATTGTGGCACAATCCCCGAGTCCAAACAGTCCTGAACCCGAGGGTTATAAACAGCTTCCATCAGAAGGACAAGTCTACAAAGGTTACCAAGCTTTGCACAAATACACGTACATAACTGCTGGTGATCCTGTAGTCAAATGAGTAAAATACGAGAAACTGCAGCTGCATGGAGCCATTTCCTCCGAAACTGCACAAATCTGAACCGTATTAAAAAATAATAGTTTCTTTTTACCGATCACTAGATAAATTCATGGATAAATCCTTAAAGTAAACATTACAATAATTCCAAAGATCTGTATTATAAAAAGAACAAACAATATTCGACTCTCTGTCGTAAAATTTAGCGCTGTAACTTTGCTCGTCCTATAATCCAGCTATGAAAATAATTCTGGTTTAGCACGACGAATAAACCAAAGACGAGGCTGCAACTTCACAATTTCTGAATTCGTCTCTAGCCCAGAATGAATTTTTTAGTCGAAATATTCACTTTTGTTACAGGTTACAGTAAACACTTAAAGAGAAGGTTTGATGAATTATATTGTAATAATTATAAAATAGCCAAAAATAGTGTCAGTGATGGTTGATAACAATAGCCGTGAAAGCCTTCATTGAGCAGCCATGGCCGTGGCCCTCAGCCCAAATCGTTTTTTTATAGTTTTAAATAGGAAGTACCAGCAAGAGAATATCAGCTTGTTATCGGTGATATAGTCGTTTACAACGTTCTCAAACGTTAAAAATTATCTAGAAAGTCTGGATTACGAAAGAAAACCACATCAGAACGTTTAGTTACGTTAAAATTAATATTGAAATATTGTATCTTTGTCAAAGATATTTAAAACAGAACATGCCAGAACTGAACAAAACGCTGACCATGACTATATCTTTCTCGCGCCACAACCACATTGAGACATACTCGTCCATTGCCTCTGGAATGAAAATTTGCGCACATATTAAGAGTATAACGACTTCCGAACCATCAAGACGAAAAGCGTATTGATCTAATGCACACTGCACACATTAAGCAAACAAATAAATTGGTGAAATCAAAGGTATGAAGAGGCGTTAACTTCTTTTCAGAGATTCAGCTTAGCTTCTTAGTTCTTTGCGTCTTCAACAGACCGCGTCGAAAGTCACCCGCTAAAAAGTGCATTTCGTGACATTTTCCGCATGAGCAATATAAGAGAAATGCTTTGTTTTGATGATCATTTATGCACAAACCCATGATATTTGACGATCAACCATGAACTGCTTAGTAATGTCCACAGTTAATAGAGGGGTAATGTCCCACTGTATTCGGTTTCTGTGCCTCTGATTGACGAATGAATTTCCTGGTTTTGTTTACGAATACACTTATTCAAGATTTACCTTTCTTATTTAATACAAGCTTATGAGATAACTTCCTATTATTATGAGGCTACGAGATGAAGAGCAATATTTTTGACAGCTATCTTTACATCTCAAGAGTTGAGGTAAAATCTAAATTAAGACGGGAATGACGCTTACTAACATTTTAATCAATGATTAGTGTTCTCAATTCTTTTTACTTATTATCACAATTAGTTCCCAGAGAAAAAATTAGGGTTGGTCAACAGTTTCACGAACAAAACACGAACAATAAAATTTTGTAATTATTCAATTCCTAAATCGAGTGAAATTATCAGTCCTCAAATTTAAAATTTGAGGACTGATAATTTCTATCTTCTGGGTGCTTTCGATACTCCCAACTTTGGATCCTCCTTTGGTACCAAGGAAGTTTCCCTTTTTTTCCATGATTTTGTTCTATCAACGTAGATTATCGCGCTGTCATTGACTTCAATTGACGTAAAGCCAAATTTGGTGAACCAATCTCGAGAATGTGGTCAAATGCCTAAGACGAAAGGCCGAGTATATTAAACTAAAGCACCGTGTTTCTGTGCATGTTGTAAGAAAGATGCATCAATACAGTTACCACAGGAACAGGAAAATTACTTCATTTCGTACAACCCTATTGACCTACATCAAACGACCGCATTCTTGTTAAAAGGAAGTGGTTTCAGGAAAACTTTCTGTGAGCTCCACAATATGAGATGAATTCATTGATTGGTCAATTTTCCCAGACATTTCTACGAATTAATATCAAAATCTATCAAATCAGACGAATTAATAGGAAAAAAACAACGTGGGGGTTTAATGAGATTTTACTCACGTATTGTTTATTTCAATTCCAGGATTTTGTACATCAAACTCGCCCTTCAAAGGCCTCCAGATACCAGACAATGCCATGTAATTTCATTTCAGCGGCCATGAAAGAAATTAAGCGCTTGCAGGCAGGATTCAAGAAAATGACAAATTTCTCGAAATATTTTTCTAAGAACTAAGAAAAGAATCCTTTCCAAGCTGAATGTAAATATATTTGTCACTGACTACACCAGTACCTTACCTTCAATCATATCCCTCGTCTGCCGACAAAACTAAACTTAAATCCAGACGTTTTGTTCAATAATTGTAACAATGAAGTAAGAAAGAAATCGGGGCAAGTGAGTTTTCCTTGTGGTCTCGAGTCTACAGGCCTCTGTGACTTCTGTCATACAGACGAAATCCTTGTATGACTGTCAAAACTACTTAATCCAGTGGAAAAGCATGTTATTTGTGTTCGATGAAGATGGTCTTTCTTCGCCAGATCGGTAATCTGCCTGAATTACCGCGCTGATGTGCGATCTATCTGACCTCACATGGACTGATCCCTCTACAAAATGGAAACTATTCGATCTCAATATCAACAGGGCTAAGAAGTCTTTCATGAAAATTTTAAACTGAAGCTATCAGCTATGAATGGAAAATTGATTGTCTAAGTGTAGCAGGGTAAACAGGAAAATGAGAAACCTTGATTCCCACGGTATCACTTCCAACGACAAATATTGACTGAGATAATGGCAATTTATTTTGACTGGTGACGAACTTAAAATCTGGGCTCCCTAAGAAAAAAGAGGGTTCTAAATGATTTCGTTATCAAAATCACGCACTTGCAGAAAATTTTAACTGAATTTTCATTCGCAAAGAAGTCAATATAGCAATAAACAACACACAAAAGTATCGCGGTGTGATGATGCAAGGCTAGCTGTCAATCAAAGACTTTTTTGGAAGCAATGGCAAGTATATTTCATGCGATATCGGTAAGGGTATTTGCGGAATCCTGAATCGTGTGAATGGGGGTTTCGCCTGGTTCGTGTCGCAATCTTTGCTTGGTCTCAGCAGGTCACTACGCACAGACACGCAAATTACGTAAAAAATGGAGAAAGGGAAGTTGATAGTCAAACTGTATCGAAAACTAAGCGCAAAATCATCTACTTTGCACGAGGCTCAGATGCAAAGTTTGCGATTCGATTAATTAGCGTAATTGGCGAAATTATTTCTTCTACTTCAACAACAAAAGTTGGCTAAAGCAATGGCTACGTCGTCATCCGTGATAATACT